AAAAAGACAACAAAATTAGTTGAGTAGGGCCAAGGTTGGGCCCCGTGTCTCGCTGGAACACCACAGATTAAAGGGAATAAACATATAAAATGTTAGCTTTTTTCTTTCTTTTTATTGAAAACATTTTGTTGACACCACTGAAGTGCTAGATTATAAACGGTCCTACTAGTACAAAGAGTCTTTGAAGCTTGATGACATTAAAAAAAGCAGTCTAAAATAGACTGGATTAGGTGAGAGAAGAACTTATAGGGCTAAGCCAGCATGTGGTACTAGTAACATTTATGCTATTGAAACCATTCATGACGTCTCAACAGCCTATAGCAGTGGATAAAAATAAATTATATCAGTCTTTATTTAATGCTTATGTCCTACAAACACCAGATATGCCATGATGAACTTAACATGGAATAGTATCAAGAATGACACAGATTTATTATTATAACATGGAATAGTAAAAAAAAAATGACAGATTTATTATTATAACATGGAATAGTATCAAGAATGATACAGATTTATTATTATAACATGGAATAGTATCAAGATTGACACAGATTTTGCTGAAAAAAGTTAACCATATGTTGCAAGAGCTCAATATGATCTCTGTTATGAAAAAAGGATCACTTCCTAACTTTTGGACAAAACAAGCACCATCAGTTTCAAAAAAAGTTTCTACTCAGGATAATTTAGAGTCCAATGAACAACTGAATGATGTCTTCAATATCATTACTTCTGTAACTTTGCCTTCTACAAGCCATTTGGCTACTCTGAGAAATGCTACTGTTCAATTACATTTGGTGAAGTCTGAAATTGATGTCTTAAATTCTGACCTTGTTGGTTTGTATTATAATCAGTAAAAACAAGGACTACTTTCATATGAGCAGAACTTAAAGAGTTAAAAGATAAACAAAAAAGAAAAACTGAAAAGAAACCAAAGAGGAAGATTGATGATCGAAGATCCCAGAAAGCAATAGATTAAAAAAAATCAAAACTGAATGCTTTTACTGGAAGATAATCCTGAACTGCTCACAAAACTATATATTAGGGCCAGATGTGGTCAACCAAAAACTGACAATGAACAGCCATTGCTTTTGCAAGTCTACAGAAGTATCAAAACCTTAGATCAATTAACAGAGCATTTAAAAAAAGATGGCTTCAGTACAAGTCAAAGTGGACTATAACATCATCTACTTCCTAAGCATAGTTCATCGTCAGAAGGTAATCATCATTACACCACTGTTCCAGTAAAGTTAATTTTGAGTGCAAAATGATTATCACATAAACATATTGATGGCCAGTTTTGCACAGCCACAATAAGACATTTGGAAGAACTCTCTTCTATTCTTGGACTGAATTGGGTTTATTTTATCAGCCAGAAAGATAAATGTTATGCCCCAATTGGTGGTCGCTGCCAATAAATAGTCTACTGCTGATGAGTATAAAGCAAGCCTTGCTGTAAGCATTTCTGGCCCAATCTGGAAAAAACTCCGCATCTGTAGCACTTAGCCATGGATTTGACTTTGTAAAGTTACTGTGTCTAACAGAGTTTGATATCATAACCAGGACTGGTATTGATAAATTGGTCAAGCCGATTCTTGTTTAATGTTGATGGTTATTGGCTGGATGAAAATCCACAGTATCAAAAGGCCATTAAGGTTTCCATCCACCATTTCATGAAAGATGATCTTAAAGAGTGGAGAGAAGGATGGTGCCATTAAGCAGGGAATTAAGTGGATTAATATTACCTCACGACATCTATGGCAGCCATTTTGATAAACAAGGTAAGACAATTGAAATCAAGTTAGAGAAGAAAAACTTTGAATTTGCCAGAAAAGCATTGGCCGAAAAAGGGTCACAGTTTAGACAATTACCCAACCATTGCTAAGTATAAGGAACAGGATGTATTGTGTACTGATCAAAATTGGTGTGACACCCATGTCTGTTCAAGCTAATACTTGCTTCAGATTGTGAAGTGTGATGAAAAAATGTGTTTGAAAGCATGAAGAATATAGCGTGATAAAAGACACATTTCTTCCTCTTCATTTACCCTTGTTCAAACATGTGAAGGACTTATTGTTCCAGAACAAGCAACAGATGGAACCTTGCACAAATTTCCATCCTTATTTGCAACTAAAAGTCTCATAACAGGAAGACATTCTACCTCGGTCAGCAAACACATTTTGAACAATTCCCTATGATCTTAAGTGCCCTTCACTTCAATCTGTGCTGAATGAGAGAAAGATATGCCACATGTACTTCAGCTCTCAGGTCATGCTGCACAGTCACTCAGTTCTTCACAAACAAACAGCAGTTCCATCAAAGCACATCAGACCAGTGAGAGTTGCTGCTAGAAGGCAACACAAAATGATGGTCATACTAGTATATGCGGAGAATGGAGAAGGTGTAGGAGGATTGAGGAGGATCTTGATTTGGAGGCAATATCCCTTTCAATAAACGATGTTAATCATGAAACAAATGGATTTCAGTAATGTAATTATGGTACTCATATTAGTTGCACTTAATTACAATTTATAGTTTGCTATGCTTATTTGAAGTTATATGGCCAAAATACATTGTTATGACCAAAATGGGCACATAAACTTTAATAACATAGAGGTAACTTGGACTAAAGAGAAAGTTACTATGTAAGAGCATGCTGTTTAAGTTTACAAAGGTACATCACATAAAGACTGATGTTTTACTAATTTACACAAATTCAATATTTTTCTTTGTATATATACCTATTTTGACTCTACTTTTTCGCAAAGGGTTGCTGGAAAGACTGCAATAATCAATTTAGTTTGACAATCTATTTTTATCTATGTATTATTGATTAAGTTTGTATTTCAGGATGGGAAATCAGTGAAGGTGATTCACTTTGGAGTGGTGTGATCTCTTAAAGAGAATATGAACTTCACTTTATATTACAAAGGGCTGCTATATACATCAGAGGATGTTATGCAGATATACCAATGCAAGAAGGATGAGTAGTTTACAATGATATGACAACCTGTTTGCCCAGGAGACATATTTTCTTGTCTTAAACTTGCATGATGATTTACTAATAGGATTAAATGTAGACTATAATAAACATGTACTTATATAATGTATTCTGTTCTGTCAAAATTTATATATATATATATATATATATATATATATATATATATATATATATATATATATAGTTTTAGTGTTAAATTGGAAATCCTTCCTGATTTTAAATGTCTGACCTTTCAAAAAACTTACCTATTGTAAATACACAGTGGATGTACATAACTAGATTGTTTATAGGTATATACAAAGTAATTTAAATAGTTTTAGATCATTATCTATCTAAAAACACGAATTTCTCTCTTTTACACTTGTGTGTTATCTGGAACATTTCTTGAAAGTTCAAAAGAAAATTAGTAATATTTTTTTATGCTTTTTTCCCTCAGGCAATTTAACATTAAAGTAGGTACAATGTACTTACCTGTAGTGCGTTAGTAATGCTGATGTGAAAGTGCTTGAAAGAATAATGTTTGAATATATTACTTATTTGCTGTAATGTGAGCAATTTATATATATATATATATATATATATATATATATATATATATATATATATATGCAAAGAGTTGAAGTACAGAAATAAAGATTATGTTTTACAGATATATTTGTTATTTTATTTTACTGTTAGAGTGAAAGCTGCTTTGTTCCATGGAATGTCATGCACTCCCAACTACCACTATCAAAAAAACTGCCTTTGTCCAGGACTTTTTAGTATGATATACAACTTCTCTGCCAATATCAACTAAATGGTCTATTAACTTGAAATAATTTATTTTATTTTCTAGACTCTCTGTGTGTGTGTATATATATATATATATATATATATATATATATATATATATATATATATATATATATATATATATATATATATATATATAAAGAGCAAGTCATTTGCAGAATCATTCTCCCCATGATCTCTCAGAACCAAAGAAGACTAAGCCTGTTGACAGAATCAACTGAAGGCCCATGGCCAAAAATGTATTTTACACTCATACAGAACTGTTCCTAATGGATCTTATTGTCCTAATATCAAAGTAGTTACTTCATTCCAAACAAACACGAATTAAAATAATAACTAAAAAACTTTCAACAATACTATAAGAATTTCACAATGTTGATTGTCACATTAACTTCTCCAGTAATATTAATGCAGAGTTATTACATGTGCATGTCAGTATTTACACAGTAATTCACTCTGGGTTATTTGTCTATATTTGCAACCAATATTAGATTACACTTAAACAAAACACCCAAATACATCAACTGTATACAAATAATGACATAAATTTGCAGGTCTTTTTCCTCTACTGGACAAAAACTTGATATTGATATGCTAGTCATGGAGAAGATTTATTTTGCTTTCCTTTTTGTCACCACAGATATGTTTGGCTCTGTTCAATTTTTCATTTTTCTCAATGAAGATCTTGTTTCTTTTCAAGCACCTCTTCATATTGAATGTAATGTGTATTTCCAATATTGAATTTCTCTGTATGCAGCTTCTTTTAGAGGTGATGTGTGCTGCTCCAAACTCATCCAACCAAGATTAGCATAATTAGTCTTTCTTGATAAGATCACAAAATGCCAGACCTTTGGCGTTCAGTTTTCTTACGACTGACCAACTACATTTCCATCGATTTTTTTTTTGCTTCAGCTCTTGCCATATCCACACATTTTTCAAATATTCATTGAAACTGTTTGTGCTCTTTTCTCTCTTGAAATTCGAGATGCCATGTTTTGCAAGCATGCTTATTTCTTTCCATCAGTTTCTGTTACACAAAGATTCATTGGATGATTAGAATGTGTGAGTGTGATTTATGATTTTTAACATAGCTTTAACAATTTTTTAGTCTTATTATTCTGACACTAGGCTGACCAGTCCTAACACTAACCTCTTAATGCTGAGCACCAAGCAAGGCAGCTGTTAGTACCATTTTTGTAAGTTTTTGGTATGAATCTACCAGGGATTGAACCACGACCTCCTGCATTCGAGGCAGACACTCTAACCACTAGACCACCAGAGCAGTTGAATGAGTAGAAACTTTTGACCAATCAGAATACTCTTTACAATGATCATGTGGTAAACTAATGTATGGGATGAATATTTGCAAGGATCATTGGAACGAAACTGAACAGTGTGGTCTTTTTTTTTACAAACCAGATTGGAGATTAAAAAAGTGGACTGCACTGAAAATCAGATTTTTCTCATCAGGAGAAAATTGGAATATTATTTTGAAATAAAGAAAAATAATATTTGTTATCATCAAATTTAAATGAAGAATGATACTAGTTTACATACCAAAATCTGGTCAAAACTTACCAGAAATGTGTAATAGAGAGTATTATCTTATTAAAGTGCATTGATGTTGCTCATAACCAAACTCAACAGAGATCTTGATAATATAAGCTTACATACCAAATCTGATCAGAAACATGGCCAGTAGAATATTCACAGCCAATTACATACAAGTTCACCTAAGTAATCTATATGGATGTCACCCTTAATTCAAATTTTTGTAGATTTTGATGATGAAAGTTTATGCACCAAATTTTATAAAAAGCTGATAACACTCACAAATGTTGATAAATAATGGACAATGTAAGATGGACAAAAAGCAATGCCATAAGCTCATTTGGCCTTTGGCCAGGGAAGCTAAAATAACCTTATTGTAGTTGATTTTAGGTTTCTTTTAGGGGATATAGGACAAGTGTGTTTCTTGATGGCGAACAGTGTTACTGTTACATTTTGGTTCAAAGTACATACAAAAGGTCCTACAACTTTATGTAAACTAAAGATAGAATCTTTAAAAAAAAAACTAAAACCAGTGTTGCTTACAGTACCAAGTCCATCTACATAACTGCCTGCTTTCCCATTCTGTTCTTGTTTTAGTAAGGGTTAGAGATAAGGGATTGTTAATTAATTTAACATCTGTGCCTTATCCAAGGACATGAATTGGTCCAGGCTCAGTTAGCCATGGGAAGATAAACAACAGAACCGAACCTGTTGACAGTCTCTGGTATCAAATATCCAGAATGCTGGGATTAATGTTCTAGCCAACTAACAGTTAGAATCTGATAAATGCACTGAGAGTGAAATCATACTTATAACAGTTACATATATTGGTATGATCATGTCACAAAAGATGGACATACTTGTGTGTTTTTACATCCATGTATTTATCAGATACTAACACTGAATAATCAATGACAAAAACTGTAAAAAAAACCCCATACATTTTAATTCTATATTGTTTACAAAAAATGATGAATACATTTTTGAAAAGTCCTATTTCTTCTTGGGCTTACTTGGGCCTCCAAGCTCTTCCAATTGTGCTTCAAGAGTTTCCTTTTCCCTGTCTGGGATGTAGCGGTACTCATCATCTTCTTCTGTAGGCTAGAAGTGATGAACCAAATGGTTATTAGCATTTGATAAATAGTTGTAACACTGTATTATAAATTCTTGTGTAACAGCTACACTCCCATAAACAATGTTATAAATTTTTCTGTAATAGCTGCACTTCCCTATTGAGAAAGTAATATGATGTAATCAAAGTCTGATAACTGAAATCCAATATTTCACAATGGTTTAGGTCTGAGTGAACACACAAAAATCAAGCACATTCAGTTTAAAAACTCTAACATTAATTAATATTAACAAATACAATATCCAACCATGTAAGTACTTGACTGTTAGATCAACTGCCATAATCAAATACTTCAGTGAATTTTTTAAACTGAGCAATGAGGTGCTTTTATTAATTATCTAATAATTAAAACAGTTTTACCTAATGCACTTGCAAAGGTTGTACAATGGCAGAAATGCAGTTTTTGGTATTAATTTGTAATTTCATGCCATTTTCATATTTGCTACCACTGTGCCAATAATGAAGATAAACAACAGTAACTTATTCATTGAAAGTTATTTATCACACATTTGTTGAAACATACTAAAAGGAATCTATTTGTGTAGACTATTCTTCTAACACTATTGGAAAATCCTTACCTTGTAAAAATACCAGAGGGAAAAAATATATTTACCTCTTTAACAGTGACTTGAATTCCTTCTGGTGTGTGCATTCTTAAAAGATCAACAAAAGCAGGAAGTTTGGTGGATGGTACATCTTGTAACTGGAAACAAATTCATTGAAATATGTTAATCAAATCACATACAACTATTGCAATAAGTTTGATTATTTGCATCCAGAATATTTTGCTTCAATAAAAAGATGGAAGAGGAGGAAAGACATATCAATGAACATAAAAGGCAACTGAATAGATAGGATTAAAGCAATTGTCCATTTCTGATACTGTGACAAGTGCGTCAAAAAAATTGAAACATGGCAAACAAGATCCCAGAAATAAAATGCAGAATAAAGGTAGACAGTCACCATTATATAGCACTCAACCAGTCACAATGGCCATTCTTTTTTCCCATCCAATTTTGTATTAAAAAAGTCTTGTATATAACTGTAAGGTGTTTTAAAACCAAATAACGGTTTTCACCTTCTGTAAGCGGTTGCTGGAGCATATCTGCACTGATCATTGTATGCATGCAAATTACACTTATTTGATAAGGAAAGAATTATTTAGAGAAAGGAATATGTGAGTTAATGTGTAAACATTTCTTAGCTCATTTTGTACTTGCCATACTCCTGTCACACTGTCAGCAAAACTCAAAGGTGTCAGTAGAAAATTGAGAGAGGTGGTCTTTATCATTGTAGAAGGTTTTTTTTTTTAAATGTCTTGCCCATCAAGAGCTTTGGAATTAAATACTCTTGCTCTGAGTTGTGGAAGAAAATACTATTGATCATATTGGTTGAAAAAAAAGTTGCACCGATTATCTTGAGATGAAATGAGAAAAAAAGCTATTCTGGTTGGAAACAAAATCGCAGCCTTTCCCTCAAAATTAAATGTCTGTCCCTTAGTTGATAGAGTTGAAATGATTTGTTTGCTGGATGGTGGGAAAAGCTGTCATATAGTTGCAGCTGAAATAGGAGTTGCCATTTGTGACAGTTTATCATGCATAGTTCCATATTTTCATCTATTTTATTGCCTTATAAATTAAAGCTATTACTGATGAAAAAGTTTATCTTTGAGAAGAGATACGAGTTACATCTTTTTTCATTTGTGATATTCCACATTTCTTCAAGTGAATTATAATGACAGTGAAAATATGTATACCCCAATAATTTTCCTATCTATAGTAATTTGGGGGTAAATTATCCCCAATTATAAATTATTTTGCTTTAATTTACTTCGAAATGAAAAAATAATCCAAGTCAGAGACTGTAAATGCATGTGACTGTTCATCATTTCCATTGTACACATTCTTGTAACGGAAAACTGAAGCGGAAATTAAAACTCCAAATACTTAACAACACTCCTCAAAAACATGGAAGAGTTAATCCACGTTTATAAGTCTATAAGTAGGTGCTAACAATTGCCAGAGGCGCATCCAGAAGTTTATTCCTTTTAAGCTGGTGATCACACCTATTAAAATTACAAATCTGGTGATCGAAAAGTTTTGAAAATGTTATATTGTGTATTGATTCTGGTTGAAATGTTGACATGCTTTTGCAGTGTAATATATTTTCAAGCCTTCAGAATGCCACCACTAACCATACATACTACTTCTGCCATGTTGGAGATACATCTTACATTTTGGATTACATGCCTGACTCACTTAATGCACAATTCGAATTCAAACATAGCACATCAGTTTAAATCGTGCTCATTTTAAAAATGCTGAGAATGATATACCTTTATTGGTCGATTAAATGAATAACAGAAAAAAATGACCTGGTAACTATAATTTGTGCACTTTCTTGACTGCTTGACTTGCCTAACAAAGAAACATTTGCAAAAAAGCATTTTTTTTGTCGGGCCATTCATCTTTTAAAATATTTTTAAAAAAATTTTGTCCAACTTTTAGACTTTTTTTTAAGGTTTCTATGGACTTAATGAAATTTATAGGTTTTCTGAGGTATTTGAGGTCCAGTGCAGACCCCAGTACTTGTGTCAATAAAAAATAATGGTCCAAAATATATATTTCATACTTAAATAAGAAAAAAAGATTTACTCCAATAAACCTGTTGTGTATTAAATTTTTAAACAGTGTCACATACTGATACAGTATTTAAATTAGCTTGTTTACAACATGAACACAACTGCCAATGCTGTTGACCCACATTTGTGGTACATTTGTGGTCTACCCTGCTTGTTCTATTGCTAATTTCACATCAAACGTAAGGATCCTGATTTGCCGATTGGTTTTGGTAACAACAAATTGGGATGATCGTGGTTTCCTTTTCGGTGTGCATCATACACACATATATATGAAATGAAATCTTTCGAAGATGCTGAGACAGATCATACCTCTACTACACGTTCATACAGCTTCAGTGAGTAAGTATTCTGTACGCTTGAAGTATTGGGCTTGTATGTATTCACGTTGCAACTGGTGGAAGGTACAGCAAAACTGCAAACAGAAATCTATATAGTAATTGTAATACATGATTTTTGTAGTCATTGTGTCCTCAAAATAATGTAATTTCTTTTAGAAAAAAAACAATATTATAGCATATACACTGATTTGGGTATACTGGAACCACGTGTGAATGAAATTTATATTTTATTTTACCTAAGCTCCATATTACAAAATTAGTTCACTTACAACAAATGGTATGAAGAGAACAATGTGCACACAGCTTTCTGATGTCACTGTCTTTATTACTTTTTCAGTTAAACTGTTGCACTTTCTGCCCTCATTGTATAATACAATTAGGATGGGGAATATTTTATATGAAAAACATTTTTGTGTATGCGTTAATTATACAACCACTTCAGTGGATTTCACAGTTTTTCTCTCTCTCTCTCTCTCTCTCTCTCTCTCTCTCTCTCTCTCTCTCTCTCTCTCTCTCTCATATTGACAATGCACTGCATTAGTTAGACTTTTTGTTGGGGTACATGAAAAATGGTTTGGGTGATGCAACATGTATCAATCAACTTCTCAAATCTTC